TAAACATTCTACAGTCTTTATTTTACAGTTAAAATATATGTTTATCAAATAAAGTTTAATGTTACAACTAATCATGGATCCCTTTAAAGCTGAAACAAAGCAAAACACCAACTAAAAGCTAATCGAAGCAAAAAAGCTGATTAATGTCCACTTCAGCTCGGAGGCCCGTATCGACTGACCTTTATTTTACTTCAGGTTGATCACCTGAACTGCATGTTATTATTGTATGTCGCCACATTTGATCAAATAACTTTCATCTACAGTAACTTGACAAGCAATGGGACTAAAAATAAAGTTAGACAACTTCACAAGTGCACTGCYGTCCTGAAACACAAAGGGGTCGCTCAGACTGACTGGATGTTACACATAACCCCAAAACCTCACGATTCTAAAGTTGATTTAAACACGTGATATAAAGTCAATTTATTTACTAAATACTGAACATTTCTCTTAATGCACTTTTGACATGACGTCTGCAAAAATCTGGAGATTTGAGTCAGGAAGAGCGAGAGAAAAAAAGTTGACTCACGTAGTCATGGAAAGCCTTGGCCTCGCTGGAGTGCTCGCACGTGTCTCTCCTCTCTGGAGCTGCACAGTAAAGGTCCCAGAAAACACTACAACAAATCCAGAGATAAATGCTTAAATCTGAGGCACGATATAGGATGAAAGTAATGTGTGTCTGTGTTCTTATTAAGATAAATGAGAATGAGAGGAAATTGGGGGAAATAAGTGTTTATTGTCTGTGATGGAATTAAGAAATATAAAAATCAGCATTAATATGTGTAAATGTGAATGGGTAGTCATAAAGCCAACTTACCACCACCATGAATGAAGGAACCCTGGAGGTTCTCCTAATGTGATGTTCTTCTCCCATCGGATCTGAACAGACAGAGGGAGAGAGAGAGAGGGAGCTGCTTCAGAAGCATTCAGTATATAAAACATGCCTGACATGTGAATTACCAGCTTTAGAAGGTTGAAGAGGATGCGAGGGAATTCCTATAAGACATGCCATTAGGTAATTATGTTAGGATTCTCTTGGATTCATAAGTGGATAAGTGGTTCTATGTGTGTCTGTGAGCCTCTCGTCACGCAGATTTGAAAGTGTGTGTGCACAGAGGAGTGTGTGTGTGTGTTTTTCAGAGGGTGTAAGGAGCATGAGGTCAGAAACATAAACCAGCCCGAGGAACCGGATCAAGCCTTTGCACAACCCATACAGCTTTCACTCTACACCATCTTTTGCTCCTGATTTCAACATTAGGGCTGCTTTTCTTTCTATCAGTTCTCCCTGAATAAAGTGACTAAGCAGTTTTATGTGCATGAGAACATAACAATATGAAACCAACAATTCATCTTGAGGCATTAAAGTGACTTGCATATCCTTCAAATACAAAAAAAAGTCATAGAAAACATCTGGATATTTAAGAAACTTAATATAATACACATAATTTTACTAATTTTGTCACAACTGGCATATTTGAACTTGGCTCAGTTAAAGTGAGACAGAAAGTGACATCATAGGGGATCACTATAAGAATGAAAACTCCCAGGTCCTTGTTTATTAAAACAATATTATTTCAGCTCTGACTCATCTTCATCTCTCTGATAGTGACTAAAATAATTTAAAGAAACATCACTCTACAGTCTGTGTTGTTAGCTGTTGCAGCAATGCTCTGTTTCCACGCAGACATTCCCCTTTGACATCACTACCTGTCACTGCATTTGCGAATGTCTCAACATTTGTTCATCTCAGTGACGTGAAATTGGTTTTGCAATRTGTTTTTCATGTTACCTTTCAAAAATGCATTCATAGTTTTTTTTTTACAAAAAATAATAATGTCACAAGCACTTTAAAACCTCCTTTAAAACTAGCTACACATTACTGAATTATTATTGTACTTGCTGCAGGCCACAAAACTTTTAAGAATAGGAGACAAACAAATCTGGGTATCACTTTCCAATAAGCTCCCCTTATAGATGGCTTAGAAATAGTTTATAGATAGGTTATTAATTCATCCGTAAACACTTTATAAATCATTAGTTTGTATTCATCATTAATATGTTTAAAAGGTAGAAACCTAGTCTGAAATGTTTAATATAGCACATTTAGATGTAACACGATTTTGCTCACTATTTTTCAAGAAACCGGACAGTTTTGTCTCTTTCTTGTCCTTAACTATTGCACAATAAACACTTAATGATTTAGATAGGGTTTACAGATGAATTAGTAACATATCTATAAGCTATTTAAAAGCCATCTATAAGGGGAGTCTTATTGGAAAGTGGTACTCAAAACTAAAAGAAACACAAAACAGCTTATTGATTGGCCAGGACCAAAAAATAGAAACCCATCCTCTTCAATCAGCCTCGTCACAACAAAAACTTGTGTTTGGTTTGCACCAGAGTTTGGATGAGCTTTCACACCTGCCCAAATAAAGCAGAGCATCCAGGGAAACAAACTCTGGTCTGTTTGAAATGGACCAAACAGCTCTGGTCTGAAAGTGCTTTTTATCTGGAAAATCAGCTGATTACAATGAAACCAGACAGGAAGTCAGTAAAGAGATACCAAGACCAACATTCTGGGCTCAGGCTAATTTTTTTTGCACCAGTTAAAAGACAAGAAATTCTGTTCTGAACAGGTTGTAAATGACAAAAAAACAAAACAAAACAAACAAAAAAAAAAACAAAACAGGATAGATCAAGGCCAACATGTAGATCATTACATCATTTTGTTCCTAAAGACCTCAGATGTGTCCTCACTGAATGTTACCAGCTGACAGAGCAGGTTAATGCTTGGTATCTCTGTTTTGTTTTATTCTCTCACTGTAATATCTCATAAGGGTAAAAGAATAAGAGTACTGTACTCATTTGCAACAACAGCAGCACAGACAAGCATTGAAAAAGCAGGAAAATCTGAATCACTGCTGCACTTTCAATCAGACTGTCCTGACCTCAGTTCTAAATCACATGGAGGAATGCAACACTTTGAAGCTTTGTTTTTTTTTTTTTTTTTTTTTTTTTTTTTTTTTTTCTTGGAGGGGAGGGTCAGGAACTGCCTTCATTTGTTTGTCCCACATTCTTTTAGATGTAGTTGGCAATTCTTGTGAACTCATCTGCTCATTGAAACATAGCCAGCCTGTTTTTTTTATTTTTTTTTTATTTTGCAGCATGATAAAGGAGGGTTTTTACTATTTAATAATTAAAAAAACTTTCAGAATAAGCATTTCTTTCCTAATTCATCAGATTTTTATTACCCTTAGTTTATTCCACATAAGACCACAGGCAGTTCAGGTCAGGACATTTTCTTTCACTCTGCTGCGATCGGGAGAGCGTGCAGAAAAGAAARGCACAGAGTGTGCCTGCATATTCGGTCTGCTTGTGGTCAGAACTCCTCGGAGCTTGKTTGGTTTGCCTTCTCCACGCTCTCCTCAGCATGATGTTTTTTTTCTGTTAAGACTTAGGCTTATTTATCAGAAAACTGACTGATCGGCCGACTTTGACAGGACTATGTGATTTGATCTTCTGGCCTGTCTGTTAGTGATTTGATATTTAACAYGTAGGTATCATAGCTTGGTTTGGGAATTTACCTTTGTGGTTTCTTGTTTCATGTAAAGGGATGTGAATTAAGCCTTTAAAACCACATCTCAGAACACTTTAACACTCCAAAAAGTGATGCTTTTTTTGACAAGATGTTCTCCCAGTTTGTGTGYTAAGGAATTGTACATCAGCGGCTGTGTTTATACTTGTTGCGATCTTAGCWAATGCGTTCCCACACTTGAATGTGACACCGCCTATCMTTTTCATCTCCCGCATCTGCGAAACGGAGAGCAAGCGATTATGGCAGCAGCGAGGAAAGAGCTTCAGAGAAACAGTGAGGTGTAGATGTGCAAGAACAGACACTAAGTGATGAGAGTCAGTGCCAGCGGATGAGGTAACTTTTCCCACCGCCACACCCCCTCATCTCGCATCTCCACTGGCCTCAATACAACAAGCCTCTAGCTGCTGCTTTTACATTGTAATTTGCTTTAATTTACTCTCAAGTCCAATAATCAAGTGGCCTCTGTTTCACCCAATCCCCTTTTTTTAACCCAGTGAAGTTAAAGTRAGGATGAGCTCTCAGAGATAAAGCGGCAGCAGGGAGAGAGCGATGAAAAGGGGGGAAACAGAAGGAGCTTCTGAGCAAACCAGACAATGATGTCAGCTCAAGACAATCAGCTAAGCATCATAACTGCTCTTGTGATTCCAGTTGGAGTCCCATTAAAAAGCAGCACTAATGTTAAAAAGCCTTTCTGCTGCATTATTCCGTTAGCTCGGGACCAGAGTCAGGCCAATTCAATTAGCTGCTACACTTACTGGACAGACTGCACGAGACGACGACTCAGACAACAAAACATTGTTGTGACTTACCTCTGAGAGGAAGGTCTGTGCGGACTTCTGTGCTCCTACGTGCAGCAGGTACTCGTACACATAAAGAGCCAATCTGTGAAAATAAAAAAAATAAATAAAAAACACAAAGTCTGCAGGAAGTTGGCAGTCAAATTGTGAGATATTACACAAATACTATTTTTTCATCCAATGTTGAGAAATGACAGAGTTGTTTAGATCAAGCCTTGTAAATAAGTGTAAACTCATGCAGTGCTGGGAGATGTCACGCTCAGAACAAACGTTGGAAATGACTCAGAGCTGCTATCGTTTAGTTCAGATCGTGTTTGCTAAGAATGATTAGCTGTGGACGTGATCTTCAGTTTTCTTGACCCCCAGTTTKTCACGGCTGGTTCTACACTCACTGTAATTCAGAAAAGACAGGAAAGCATCATCATCTATACGTCTTAATGACTTCCATCTAAGTCATTCCTAAATCTAAATCAAGTTTACAGTCAATGAAAAATTCACAATTAATTTTTAAAAAGTTCAAATAAATGCATTTAGTTTACATAAATAAATAAATAAATAAAACTTTTTGGGCATCATTAGGAAAGTTTGTTGTGTTCCCAAGTGACACATGACATAATTAAAGTTTCACATTAACGAAGTCAGAAAACAGGTTTAGTTGAGGAATTTGTTTTATCAAAATAAAATTAAGCTTAAGAAATTGTTTGAAATAGTGTTATTTGCCCTTTCTTATTGTTTTATCCTGTTAGTCAGAATTTCAGTCATATTTTTCTCATGCTTAACTCAAAGATAAAATAAATGCAGAGTAATGAGTTCATTTCAATAGTCAATGTATGATGACAAGGAAAAAAAATGTTTTCATTTTGAGAAGCTTCAAACGTGTCGCCACATGTAAGTTTCAACCTGGACTGGAGGTTGAAGTGTTAGTTTGTGTTTGTGTGGCACAAGAACTGTGAAAGGTCTGAGAGACGGTCACAGTGGGACGACATCTGTCCCCGGACCCCCACTGAAAGGTGCCATCAGCTCGCCAAAACCCATCCAAACTCCTGTATCGAGGTAAAAATAAAACTCCCCAGACAGCCCCGTCTGCAGATGACAGACTGCGCATCTCCCTGCTCCCAACACAGCTGGATCCCACTCTCCTCCACCATCTCTCTTTATCTCTCCTCATCATCACGGCCATTCTTTAGTCTCCCTCTCTGTTCCTCTCAGTACCTTTTTTCTCCATCCTGCCACTGTAGCAGTCTCCATCTATAGCCCTATCAAGTCAGATTGAGTTTGTTTAAATATAAAATTTAAAAAAAACCTCCACCACTCTGTCCCTACCCTCTCTGCAGTCGTTCCATCCCTCCTTCGCTCCTTTCCCTGCGGCCTGAGAGTGATGTTTAACCTAAGAAACAGTGACAGGACGTTTTACAGAGACAAGGTTAACAGAACAATGAGAGGCTTGACAAAACTCTTGACACCTCGACAACTGAACATGAATAAAAGATGGGCCCCGCTTTTATTTTTTTTTTCCAAGGCACTGTAAAACTCGGAACATTTCCAGGAACAAATGTCTTCAGTCCCTCTGCTCTGCGTCACTTTAAAATCCATCTGTCACTCTCACCTGTGAACTGCGACGACGGCGACCGAGRCGTTACTATAAAACAATTTATTATTGTTGAAAGAGGTCTGTGGATACATTCCCATCAACAAGCCCATCAAGAAGCCTGCATAAATGAATTCAGTGAAAGAAGGAAGACATGAAAGCCTGTCCTCAGTATGCCTTTATATGACGGTACAGCACAAACCACAGCAAGCCTGCATAAAAAGCAGTCTAAAGGTTTCACCTATGATCGGTTTCATAGAAACTCCAAGATGTCACCTTTGACGCTTTTGTTTAGGGAAGGTCGTGGAATGTGCCCAACAGGTGAGGGCAAAATCTTGACCCAATAAAAGAAATCCGAACATTAGAGAATCAGAAGCGACGAGGTTAATGCAAGTTTTGGAGAACAGCTGAAAAGACGAGAAATATCGAAGTCAAGCTCAAACCATTTGTTGCGTCTGACCCCAGATAAAAGGCTTGAAAGGCAGYGAGGCTCGCAAACAGAAATCAAACCACTTCTATATCTTTCCTTTCTCCCCCCCTTTTTTTTTAAACTCAACACAAACCAGCATCAGAGCTGAGAAGGGACTGATAAGACAAACAGCGAGCAGCAAAAATGAAGCACTTTGTTAGCATCTGCTGAACTACAACTCAAAAGCACTAATTTTCTCAAAGACAAGTGATAGGCTTTGACTGTGCTGCAGCCCTTTATGCTGCTCTGTCATTGTTGAGCTACCATTTGTTCTGCTGAGCTGATAACACACACACACACACACACACACACACACACACACACACACACACACAGGAACACCAACTCTACACACTGACAGAATAAACGTACTGAGCAGTGATAAGGTTTGAGGATTAGAGGATGGAGAAATTCTCCAAGTTAATAAACCTCTAAACTGAACACATTTAAAAACATTAACTGACTCTTTGGTTTTGTAGTGTTGCTTTGAATGATCTCTAGAATGACCAAAGCCAATGATCCCATATGCCTTTTGATGCTGTATTAGTGCAATAACACTTCAGCGTCAAGTGCTTCCCCTTCCTGTTTGATGCACCAGCTCATGTTGGAAACATGAAGAACTTTTTTTCCCCTAACTTCTGCTACATTTTATTTACCTCAGAAATCTCAGATCTGGGGAAAACAATACATCCAACTTAAAGGGATAGCTAAGACATTTATGAAGATCTGTCAAATCTGTGCTCTATGACGGAAGTCACAGCTGATAAGATATCGAGTAACAGAACGACTTGAACAATGGGTAAACTATTCTCTTGAATGTTCCAGTTCCAAGTACAAAAACCTGTGGGACTTGTCAGATAGAAGCTGACAGCTGCCACGTATGGGACTGTTTTAATGAAATGCAAACTTTAAAATATGCAAAGAAAACATCTACTGTTCTTCTCATCACTTTGCGTGTGTGAGGCAGCCAGTTTGGATTTGAACATGAGAAACTTCCAGAGTTGGAGGAAGCATTCTAACGGACGTTTTCAGACTTGAAACTCAGAAATTGTGACTTGCGAGTACAAAAGGAACTCAATTATCCTCTGTCAAACCAAAGATGATGATGATGTACTTTTTTTGCACACTCATGGTCCATAATACATAAAAAACCTATAGTGAAAAATAAAGATCTTCAGGACAACAAATCTGAGCTGTCAGACTTTAGCTTAGWTAGTGAACTTAAAAGCAACGATTGGCTTTAACACCGCCCTTTTACTGGGCCACCATAGCTGCTATTACAACTAATGCTGAAGKGGGGGGGGGGGGGTACTTGGAGCTCAACAGCAATCTCAGCTCGAAGCAAAGACATGAACTTCTTTTCCCAGGATCAGCATTTAAGAGACCAGCGGATCACTACTAATCAATTTACCACTGAGGTGATCAAAGTCTGGCAGCGCTTCAAAATCACAACAGGCTTTTGCTTGGGTGATTGGATTCACTTATTATAGATTAGGCCCAGATTATTTCACCCTTGTTAGAGACGGAATGGAAAAGCGATTTCGCCTCTGATCTKAATCGACATGATAAGTGACATATTTACAGGACCTGCCACTACGCTGACATAAGAAAATCAAATGAAACGTAACATAAAGAAAACGAGAAGCAAAGAAATCCTGCTTTAATTCTCGGAAGCAAACATGCTGTCCCCCCATTAGTGCTGCACAGAAATCACCTCCTCAGCAGTTTATATTCCCAGATCTACACTTCTGGAGCTTTTCTACTTTAAAAACAAACATCTGCCTCAAAGTCTAGGCAGGGTAGAGACATGTTCTCATCTATTTTAAAAAAAGATGCCATAAATTTGCCCTCTTTGCACAGGATAAATGATGGGTTTGAGTGTGGGCAGCAGCAGGAAATCATCTCTCTGTAAAGGAAGTGATGAATACAGACTGCCTCCGAAACAGCTGTTAGAGAATGATGTAGGAGATGGAGAGGTCTTCTCGCTTTTCTTTCAGGKTTTAATCACACTGTTCAATGTACAGCAGTTAGTGGGCGGTGTGGGTCGCTTAATAATGTCAAACTAAAGTGTTTCCAAATCAAAAACCTGCTTTGTTTAAATGTTAAAAACACAGTGGTGGTAAAAGTGTGTTAGCTTTCAATTTAAAGGCTTTATGTAAATTGTCTCAGAAAAAAACACAATATGTGACATATTTCACTATTTTATTGAAATGAAAAATGAGTCAGAAGCTTTATGAGAAAAAAAACCAAGTAAACATCATCCACCTTCATCATCAATAACTAGAAATTATTAATTTTGAATGATTTTCCTCTAAAGGTGAAGGCAAACAAATTTTTTTTTTTTCTGTGTCTGCATGCTGGGTGGTTTTTTTGTCTGTACTGTTAGCAAAATATCTCATAAATCAGTCAACAGATTTTATTATAAGTTTTCAAACATAATCACTGAGTTTCTATCTACTAATAAACTTCTGAAATCAACAGAACAAGATAAACACCACATCAAAGCAAGTTTAAAGAACACAAAAATGTCGTCTAAGTCAGTTAATGTGACAKAAATTGAGATAAAATTAGCTGTAGCCACAGCAGGGACTTATCCCCCAACTTATATTCRGAGCACTAACTTTGCCAATAACTACTTAACTCATGAGCTACTGGATGGATTTTACTGGCTTTCATAAAATAATAATCATGCAGCAGCATTTATAGGATGTTCCCACAGCTAAGTGACTTTAGCCTTCACAAAGCTGGCTACATCTCAGTGAGTTTTACTGATAYTGAGGTAAAATGCATGAACTGCTCTGTAAGGTTCTGCCATAGCAATTTAGTACAGGTCCTGTCACACACTGCAGACAACTTATGCCATCTTGTGAAAAATTTGTTATGGCTATTTTATTCATGTCGGCCATACATTTGATTTGATTGTTAGTATTAAAAGAGGCTTCCAGTGGATCAACCTCAACTTAGACAGCCTAAGTGTTGGACAAACTTTTCATAAGTTGGCAAAAGTTTTCTAAATCGTTATGATGTG